GGCATCTTCTCGGCGGGTTCCGCTCAGAAATGGCGAGTTTCTTCAAGGATTTTGCCGGAAATTCATGGAATCCTGCATCAGGAATCATCGTCCTGGGATATATTGAATGTATTTATCGTAAAACTCCTACGAGAAAGAAATAAAATCATAGCTGATTACAATTTATTTTACATACCATGAATGTATATGTTTAGCTGTTCGATATAAATTCGATGTAATGGAAAGAAGAAGAAGAAGCATCCATGATCTTGTATATTTTACTTTTCATATCGAAACCGCGTGGTTATGGATATCGAAACCGAATTACGTAAGAAGAAGAATAATAGATAAATAGAAGTTAATTCTATTAACAGACAATGAGTTGTAAAGAAAAAGGAAAGATTTTCCAAGATAATAATCATTATTAATTTAAAAAAATTAATTTTGATAGAAAATCGAAATAATATTTATTTGTTCTGATAAAATCATAGAGAATAAATGAAAATAATAACAAATAGAATATGCTTTCAATAATCATTTAAATATTCATAGGCACAGCTGTTTATCTTTGTTTATAATAATCAACATTCGAGGGTATGGGTGTGGGTGTATATCAACTGTTAACCCACACCCACCCCTCAAGATTCGTGGTCGTTCATCTTGATTACCTTTCAGTCAACTTTTGTGACGAAGAATCTCTTTTTATTCTTTTAAGATTCTTCACTACGAGAAAGAGAGGATGTGGGTGTTGGTACGGGTTTGACTGCTGAAGAATATGGCTGCCCTTACCCGCCCAAACCCACACACTCAGTTTCAGAAAGTTCCTGGAAAAACTAAAAAGCTGTCAAAGTTATTTACGGTCCTGGCAAGCGAGCCAAACATCTCAGCCAATGAAATGTGGCTCATTTCATATAGAAAAAAACTAACTGATCACACTACAAATCTTACTTTCCGTCATCGAACCTACTTTCTGTTTTTCTTCCATCAACACGATAAATTTTCAAGGTCTACATTAGTGGTGTAGCCAGGATCTGACCGGTGGCCTGGCAATGCCTTACGATTCTTATTTAAATTCATCGACAATATAATAAAAAATAAAGTACCTGGTAAGAATTTTTTTCAGTGGCCTGGCAAACAATGCCAGGCCTTAGATACGCCACTAGTCTACATGTGCGTGCTATTTATAATTTTTTGAAAGCCTGTCTGGACATAAAACCCATAGTTTTTCAGAATCTAGAACACTTGCTCGCGGTACTTTTGCTCGCTAGATATTTGCTCGTGGACACTTGCTCGCTGGACACATGCTCGTAGGACATTCGCCTGGCTCCATACAAAAACGGACACTTGCTCGCCGGAGATTCGCTCGCTATACAACATGCTCGTTAAATATTTATGCATTGTTTCTCACATGTAACAAAACTTTATCTAGTTGTTGCTAGCATTTTTTTAAGTGGATATGGGTGAGTGTAAGTGTCTATTCAAGAAAGAGAGATTCATTTACACCCACACTCATGCCCTCATGCACACCCAAGCCAATACCCGCACTCTTACCCTCACTCACACCCACACCCTCCTGCACCTTCACCCACGCTCATACCCACACACCCTCACTCACACCTACACCCACACCCATACCCATACACCCTCACTCACACCCGCACCTACACCCACACCCACGCACCCTTACCCTGACCCGCACACACACCCTCACCCTCAAGATCGTAATTGCTGTATTTTATGCCTTCGAAGATGTACATATACATCACAACCTCGATTCACATTCAGAATTAGAGAGAACGTCCGAATGAAAGAAAACTTATTTTCGAGATACATAAGGATGAGTATAAAGTATTCGAAAGGAAAGAATGAAGCATGAAAGTGACTCATATTAAACAGCGAGCATTATGTATGCGAGGGGTTGTCAGGCGAGCAACTGTCCTTCGCGAGCAAGTGTCCTATGCGAGCAAATGTCCATGAAGAGCTAATGCTTGGCGAGCAAATGTCCAGCAAGCAAGTTTCCGGCGAGCAACCCGCCGTAAACCAGTTTTTCAAGATCTACCTGAATATAGTAGGATCATAAGAAGGAGCGAACATATACGCGAAAAAGAGTGGCTCACCTGATACAGAAAAATGACCTAATCAATTTCGAGCCTTTAATTTCTTATAAGTTTAAATTAATCTACATGAACATCCCAGCTATCGTAACACGATGAACCAAGCAAATTGTGCTTCACATTGAACTCTTCTCTATCCAGCTTTTAATGACAATTTCAAAAAGTGTATGATGCGAAGGGTCTAATCAATTTAAAAATTCAGTTGTATTTCCTATGATACATCGTTGGTACCTTCGTTCTATACACTTGATAATTTGACAAAGATCCTGCAAGGATTTCTTGTGTTGTTACATTTTTTCCCGGAAAAGTAACTTGTCTATCAGCATAATAATATTCTCCTGGTTGGAAGAATTTTTTCATATTCTTTTCTATATTCTCCTTCCAGGAAAAAAACTTATTCATTCTCATCATCAGACTCTTTCCCGGAAAAGAAACTTGCCTATGATCATTCCTGCGTTAACATTAGCAGACGTATTTCTCTTGCTCTCATTCCTATATTCTCCTTCCTGAAAAAAACGTATCTCTGTTTACTTCAGTCTTTTACGCAAAAAAAACTTGTCTGTCATCGTTCTTATATTCTCCTTGTTGGAAGAAGTATTTTTTATTCTCATCGTTACATTTTTTTCTAGAAAACATTATTGTTGCTCGCGTACGAAGAGAAGGAAATTATTTTATAACTCGGCAGTAAGTAGTAAGTGTCGTGTAATTTTTTTGTCTTTTTGTGGATAGATGTAACGATCGAAGATGAGTTCGAGTACTTATAGATCCAGTAGAGTTCTCAACTGGTCGTGATAATAAGGGTGGCCAAAACAGTCTGATCTTCATACACCTTAGCGTTAGTAAAAATGAAATAATCTACTTCACTACATTAAGTAATGTGATCAATAGAAGAGTCGAAAAGTTAGATAATCGAATACTTCGACGGTTAAAGTCCCCGTTGAGTGGAATGGCATCAGAAAGGTTAACCAGATGAATACTTGAATACTTCGATAAATATGTGAAAAGTGAAATACTCGAACAGTTGAATCAGTGAATAATTGAGTGGCACCTAGACGCTCTTAGTCACTATACTATATGCAAAGTAATCTTTCACTTTCCGAGAATGCTTCCTATTTCCAAAGGTTACACATTCCGGAATCGCTCGACCCACCCAACTTAACATCATTATATTCCGGAATTCCTTGCATCTGATTCCTGCCAATTTCGGCATTGCAAAAGATATACTTCATGTAGAAATGGGGGTACTGACTGATCGATTCAATTTTTTCGCGGAATTTCTGCACATTCCTGCATTTCCGGAATCGCTAGGAATGGGTAGGAATTCCTGTTGATTTGTGAGTATTCCGGAATGCAGAGCATTTACACGAAATCCAGATATGTAGTTTGGCGGCTCGTCCACCTATCAAGTTTCTGCCACACCCTCACTATTGCGCTTGTCCAGCGTCCAAGCTCCTCGCGCACCCACACTATTGTGCTTGCCCGTCGACCGAACCTCTTTATGTTACGCTTGACATAAATAGCACTAGAGCAAGCAAATCCGGAGTTGGTATGAATTGGCAGGAATTCCGTATTTGTCACCATATCAAGGTTTACATGGAAATCAATTGATCAAGCGATTCCGGAATTGATAGGAATTGAATGTAAGGAATTCCGAAATTGGCAGGAACCGAATACAAAGAATTCCTGAATTGAATGATGTTAATTTAGGTGGGCCAAGCAATTCCGGAATGTGTAACTTTCCGGAATAGGATGACTGCTCCACTTTTCTCTTGCGCACGTTATTTTTCTATTTGATTAAGTCTTGATTATGTCTGTCTTTAGCTAAAGACTTATTACTCAGAACCTCTCCGACATTATATTTATTTAGCAAAATCAAGAACTAGCTTAATAGAAAATGTAATAGGACTTGATCGCACTAACTTTATCAGCTATGATCAATTTATCTGCAACGAATAAAACACAGATGAAAGTATGCAAAAAGTTGCATAGTATTCGAGGCAGTTCTCTTATACTATCCGATTTAGTCAAGAATAAAACAGAAGATTGTACTGAATCTATGCGTCAACCTTAAAAAGGCCTCAAAAAGTTATAAGAATCATTCACATATATGTCGTGAGGAGTATAGCGAGAACCTACGTATAGTCTCCAAAAAGTTACGAAAATCATCCTTAAACATACCCGAAAAACTATAAGGAGCATTCGGAAGTTGTTTATTAATGCTAGTTCATTACTGCTGGGAATGATGAAGTCCGCCCAGAAATCTTGAAGTTTTCTTTTATGTAGTTAAAAACTATTTCTAATTAGTTTCTCATTAATTAATTAATTTTAACTAAGTAGCAAGCAAAACAACTGGTTCAGAAAAGGAACACCTAAATAACCATCGTCAGATAAGGCTCAGTATCTGTCTTTATTCGTGAAATTATCTATATATAAAAGATAGGTAAAATACGGACTAATGAACTTCAGGTTGGCTAACGCCAGTTTTATGTCCAGAACTGGACAAGTAGGGATTTTCTCGAGTAAGAGTACGAGTACCAACAAAATCGTAATCGACTACCAGCACGAATACTATTGTATTGAGGGTGACTGAGAGTTTCTGCCATAGTCGGTACAGAAAAAATCAATTTAAACGGTCGAAACAAAAAGACGTCGAGAATTCATATTACCTATGCAGTACATAATCACACAGTAATTTTTTATAAAACATAATCAAGATCTCCAAGATCATGTCTTCGAGTTCGAATAATAATCCATTCAAGTGCGTGTACGAGTGCGAACCCTTCGAGTACGAGTACTCCGAGTACTTTGCCGAGCTCTGTGTAGGTCACTCCCTACGACCCGTTTCATAGCAACGATATCATATAGGATTAGTCTACGCAAAATACATTGGTTAAAGGTTTTTTTCAGATGGCGTCTAGTACTACCGGAAGTACGTCTGCTCTTCGCTTCGCGGATTTGGGTGTGCTGTCAAAACGAATGCTAGCACCCATCGAAGGCTATGAGAATGAGCCACTTGTATCACTCGAAGATGCAGTAAAACCACTTGTTGACATCGTACCAAGAGTTCAACGTAACGTGCGCATTGTCAAGCAGAACTGTGAGGAACCAGAAGATGGCTTAACAAGTGATGAATCTGCTTCTATTATGCTATATACCTATGAATCTATGCCACACGAACACTCTCTGTACGTTATTCTCAACGCTGCTTTACGTTCTGAACAAAGACAAAAACTTATTCCTTGGTTCCTCTATTTACGACTTGTATTGACAGCATTGGCTCGTCTTCCATCTAAACGTTGTACTGTTAATCGAGGCGTCAGAGAAGACTTACGGTCACAATATCCAAAAGGTAAAACTATCATCTGGTGGGGATTTTCCTCGTGTACCTCATCAATCGAAGTACTTGAATGTGAAAACTTTTTTGGAAAAACTGGCACCAGAACTTTATTCCAAATAGAGTGCAATACGGGCAAAGATATTAAAAACCATTCATTTATCCAGAACGAAGATGAAATACTTTTATTACCGGCCAGACAGTTTTCAGTCAAAGGGTGTCTCGATTCTGGTAATGGCCTTCATATAATACAACTGGAAGAAACAGAACCAATCGATCCTCTTCTTGAACCTGTCTCTGTACCTGCTTCCAAAGCTGTCTCTGTGCCTGCTGCCAAAGCTGTCTCTGTGCCTGCTTCCAAAGCTGTCTCTGTACCTGCTTTCAAAGCTGTCTCTGTATCTGCTTCCGCAGCTGTTTCAGTACCAGAATCATCGGTTCAGCCCAAGCCAAAATCTCCAAGGAGCTCTAAATCAACAGTTCAAAAGCCATCTGCAGGTCAGTGTTGATTACGGATAGGAGAAAGTGAGACTTGTTTTTTGAATCGGTTATAATTCAATGGAATGTTGTTTCGTGAATGTATCCATATTTTGCTTTGTCCTAACTTAATTGACGATTTCTTATGATCGTTAATTAGTTTTTATAGTACTAGCAGTGCATGAGCTCTTCCAATATCGTTTAACTAAAGTCATAACGTTTTTGAATTGCTTAAAATCTTTTATCTATTCTCTCTTGAATGTGCGGGCGTACGTGGCTAGGTTGGGTGTGGGTATGGGTGCGTGATGAATATGAGACCACGCCCATACTCTCAAACAGTTATCGATAGAAACTATGCTCAACAAGTTTCTGCTGGGATGTTAAAATGATAGCAAACATATATTTTATAGAATAGTTAACTATGATGTCACAAAATCTGATATTTTAATTAGTTATATGTAGAAACAGTTTAGGCATACCTTGACAATATATTTACAAATTATATCACAATCGATTTGTTGGTAAAGGCATCAGAAAGGGTGGAAGAGATCGTCATGTTATTCTATAAATCTAACATATTCGATCGAACAAACTGTTCTATGCAATTCTTTTTTGTTGATAATAAATCAGATCCGATAGAATAATTCATATATGGGTGAATCCGTGGGAATCCTACCACGTTTTGGAAAAAGTTTTTTTTTTCAATTTTTTTTT